AGGTTGGTATTACTCAGCAAAGCTAGTAACTGAGGAAGAGGAGGAGAGACAGTGACGGGGGAGAGGATGTTGGTTACAGAGGTACACTGCTTTATATATATATATATATATATATATATATATATATATATATAATTGATCCTGCTTATGCTTAAAACTTGAGAAACTTGAAAATTTACTTAAAAAAATATATATATATATATATATATATATATATAAAATTTGTATTTTTGATGATTACAATTATTTTTGTAGTATTATTCCTTCTTGTTCCAGTAGTTCCATTTGATGAATTTGCTATTTGGCTGGTCACTTTTTTGTGTGAATTGCAAATCTGTAAAGTGATAAGTTTATAATTTTTTTCTTCAGCCAATCCATTTTTTTTTATACATTTTCTTTCCTTATCTACTTGAAATGTGAGTAATCTTAATTCTCTGCTTGATTTTATTCTGATAAGAGATATTTCAACTTAGTATAATTAACACATATATTTGAATCTAATCCTACACTTGGCTCCACTGCTCTTACTCTGATCTTAAATTCCCTTTTCTTGGTTAAGAGGGAGGAAATGCAAATAGAAATAGCAGAGATTGTCTTGACATGAGCAATGAAAGAACTGAGCAAACTTTTCATATTTCAGGAACTGAATAACTTCTTTGTTCATATTGCATGAGTAGCTGTTAATCCTCCAGCAGTCGAGTCTGGGTGAATTCTGGCCTAATTCTTACACACATTCAAGAGTTCTAACCGTGAAAAAAAATTTTCATAGCATTGCTCCTTGTTGTTTTTACTATGAGACAATTTAACTCATAAAGCTCCAAATTAATTGCTAATTCATATGGAAACTCCAGTGACATACACTGGAACTGTATATTAGATTAATGGTGTATATTTCTAACACCTCTGCCTATCAACTGAGATTCTATTTTCTAATTAATTTTTTATTTCACTTTTTTTATGTGATTATTCATTTATTTATATATTTATTTATTTACAATAGGAGTAAATAGATCTGCCTATTGCCAGATCCATACTCTTCTCCCATCCTTTGAACAAGAAAGAGGTTTATTCCCTGTTTTCTTTTCATTCTGAGTCTTTAATAAGGTTGGCTGTCAGGACTTTTAGGTAATATGACTGGAGGTTATGAATGTTCATACTGAGAGTACCAAGTTGCCAGTTTTCTAGTTGTTACATTATAGTAAACGACTTGAACTCTTAGGTTTGGCTTAGAGAGGTTGCTCTGATGAACACTCGCATAATGGGGTTCTTGCAGTGCCATGCCATGCATAGATAGGTGTCTATGCAAGCACTTCCACTGGGCAACCCTGATGCCACATTGATACAGTTGGTAACAATTTTCAGCCATGTTGCCTTTGAAGACCAGCAGCTACTATTATTCTTGTCCTTTCCTCGCCTTAAAACTATTATAACCAAAACGATTAAACCTAATAAAACTAAGCCAGCTTGCAAAAAATGCCTAAACCTTTCTCCAACATTCATGGTTTTCATATCAATTCTGTAATGCACAATTGTAACCTTATCACTACCACGTTAGTCTTCAGGCTCTTTCAGACCACAGTGGTTACCATCTAACTGACTTATCACTCGTTAATGCATTGCTATTTTGTCATTGGTATTATGATGAGCACAGTTCCACTCAATCTAGCTGGCGTTTGTCTCCTTGACGACCATTCACTCCTCTGCCACATTGTGTTTTTGATCTCAGAGAGTGAGAAGATTGCTGATGAAGTAAACTAAAGTGAACAACAGGTCGACAGCTAGGAGCTACATGAAAAAGAACCCTTTGGAATAAAGAATTAACTTAGTTAAAAATGTAACAATGCTTTTGGTTTATGTATGATTTGTTGTATACAGCGGTTTTAATTACTCCTCACAACTGTTATAATCAAATGACACTGGGATCCTGTAATTTAAATTTCTAATTTCAGGGCTGGCACAAGGTCTTGGTCAGGAGGTCTCAGCGAACGATGTGGATTCCAGTAGCAATAGTGTGGGGACTCTCTAAGTTGTCCAAACCTGCAGCTTATATGGAGTTCGGCGTCTAACCAGTGTGGGGTTGACCAGAGTCTGGGGTTTGGCATCAACATCCTCAGTATCAACATTTTTCTAAAATCTCATATTTTCAAAATCTGTTTACTCGAGTAATTTTCCAAATTTAGGGATTGTCCAGTCCCCTTTTGGAGTGGACAAAAGAATCCAGTTGCCCCTTAACTCCAACTCAAATCAGCCAAATCTCAAAGAAAAAAAAAAAAAAGAAGAAAAATCTTTGTTTGTTTCTCAGTCAGCAAGACCACTAAGCTTTTGACTCCAATCACTCTAAGCTAACTGGAGTAAATCCAAATGGCCCCCACCAGCCAATCCCCCAAATCTCAAAGATCCAACCGTCATTTTACTTTCAGTTTATTTTCCTTTTTAGTATGCTGACCCCTCAATAGAATTCAACTTCTCTGCAACGTTTTTCTTCACTTTCTCCTTTTTCCTTCTCTTTTCTCTTTCCTCTTTCTTTTTCTTTTTCCTTTCCTGATTAACTTTGAGGCCACATTGCCATGCAATCGTTTTTCTTGGAACGTTCTCTAGACATCCTAGCTCTCTGTGAAACAAATCTAAACTCTTCAATGTTTCCACTGAATTCTCTGTTACTGGCTATTTTCCTCTCTTTCGAAAAAGATTCTAATGTCCACATGTCTGGCCTTGGAATTTATGTTCGCGAACATCTCCCACTGGCAAGTCTCTTGAATCTTTAGATTCTTCTTACATGTGCTTCTGACTTTCACTATTAAACCTAGTCAATTATTCCGTTATCGCTTCCCTTCCTCTCGCAACCGATGATTTCTAGATAAAATTTTTGAGAGTATATGTATGGGCTCTCTCTCTACACTCACCTTTGTGTTCGGCGACTTCAATGCCCATCATTTCAAGTGGCTCCATCACTCTAATGCCACTGACCTCACTGGCACCCAGATTTTGAACTTTTCAATTGCTCAATCTCTAACTCAAATAGTAGACAACCACGTGTTAGCCTAGTAATTCAGACTGACATTCTTTACTTGATCTCCGAATTCATGGTATGCTCTGCGGTTTTGTCCTTTTGGCAACTCTGACCGCCCAGTAGAGTCTCTAGATAATTCTCCACACTCCCATGAGACATGAACAAAGATCTTTTATCAACGCACTGTTTGGGACACATTTTGTGATTTTCTTCACGATGCCCCCTGGAACGATATTTTATTTATTTTTTTAATTATCTTGTTGAGAAATGTGCCACTAAGATCTCTTCCTGTGTGAAAGCCAGCATCGAAGCTTTCGCGCTAGCACGGACATATCCAATTAAATCAGGCCATCCATCTCTTTTTCCGGCTATACCAGAGTGACAGCTTCGATTATAACAGACATCTCTTTGTCATGGCTCGTAATGAGTGCAAGCATGTCCTCAAAGAGTCAAAGTCACTATTCGCTGATAGAATGAGACACCATATAGCCTCTCACGAGTTTGGTTCAAGAGACTACTGGTGGATCTGTAAGAGCGTACTGAACGAAAGCAAATCCTCAGTTCCTCCTTTCTTTGAATTTGAAGTGTGATCTACTGCAGATACTGCTTCGTTCGGAAATTCTCTTCCACCTCCACTCAACTCATCTTACATAATTTGAGTCCAAGACGGTTCGCGACTCCGACCCGAGTGCAATCATCATCTAGAGGGGTACCAGTAGATAAAAAGGGCACTGCATTGAGCCAGGCGCCACTACTCGGTTGTGAAGCAGATAGTAGACAGGGGAGGCGATGCTGATCCAGAGAGAGCCTCAAATTAGTAAAATTGGCTTGGCATTTTATACCAGCTTTTTTGTTTTGATGTGTCTAGTGGGATAGAAAGTAATTCTTGGGCCCAGACGCTGCAAGCTTGTTCGAAAGAACTACACGAGAAACACTGAGACGATCCACCGAGTATCTCATCAATTAATTCGCGACTGGACGAAAGTGAAGAAAGGTATGCTGGAAGGGCTAAATCTGCCGCTGATCGAAGGCTCAGGCCTCTGAAACTCAAAGGGAGCTTCGCCTGCCTCCAGCCTGTGTCGTCGAAATTAACGTTGCAAATTATCCCCGCGCATCTCTTAATTGTGATATCTATCTCATTTAAGAAATCCTGTTCGAGGTAGCAAGGGGCACTTCGGAGAGCGTAGAGGAAACTCGGTAGCGAAAAACTGTTCTTCAAGAGGAAGAGGAATGGATGTGCATCAATTGCAACTTCTCAGTCATTCTTGTTAGAATGACATGCTTAGTATCCAAACACTCTCGAATGGCCATTGAAAAGACTGGAGAACCAAGAATGTGTAATTCCTCCTTAGGTGTTATTTTTATATCCTCAAGGATGAGTCTGATATCCCGGATATTTGCAATTGAAAAATAACAGAATCTGCAATAAATCATTTTGATTTCTACATTTTCAATTGAAAATTAACAAAATCTGCTAATATTCTACTTAAATTTAAAATTTTCAATTGGAAAATAAACAAATATGCCATAATTCCTTTTGATCTCAACATTTTCAATAGAAAAATAAAATCTGATATAATTCTACTTGATTTCAACGTTTTCAATTGAATATTAACAAAATCTGCTAATATTCTATTTGATACCAACATTTTCAATCGTAAAATAACACCTTCTATAATTGATTTCAACATTTTCTATTAAAAAATAATAAAGTCTGCTATATTTCCATTTGATTTCAACATTTCAAATTGAAAAATAACAAAATCTGATGTAATTCTACTTTATTTAATCATTTTAATTTGAAAACAAAATCTATGATTTTACTTGATTTCAATATTTTCAATTGAAAAATAACAGAATCTGCTATAATTCCATTTGATTTCAACATTTTCAATTGAATTCAGTCTTTGATTCCCCATGTTCGCGGCAGGCAGATCTGTTTGACTTTGATTTCTTCAACGTTCGCTCGGAATTTGGCAGACTATCATCAATGGGTTTTCGGCAGACCAACCGTGTCGCGCGGCGCGCTTCCGGCGATGGCGAAGACCGGCAGCTTGCCGGCTTCGGCAGCTACCGCTTCTCGTGTAACCGGGACGACGGTGGGTTATTAAGACACTGCCTCTAGTTAGATGGCCGTCGACTCATCAAGAGTTCTGCCCTTAATTTTTCGTCCTACTGTGCTGCGAGCAACCCACATTACTCACAAGCACATAATGGAGTAGCCGGTTTAGTCGTCGACACTCCGAGAGTGGAATATATATGTATATATATATATGTATATATATATATATATATATATATATATATTGTTACGAACCCTCATCTAAATTTATTATAAACGCTATATCAATGCTTATATTTTAGAAGCACCCTCAATAAAAAGTCAGTACTCTCAGAAAGCGTAAAAATAGTAAAGCAGAAAGATAGGTAGAATTGAATGTTGACAAATGTTAACCAGACTGTATGTACATTTTCTTTCTCCTTTAATCACATGTTGACGACAAGATTTAACCGGATGGAACCCAAATGGCGACAAAGTGAAAGGTCAGAGAAAGGGTCACACAGCAAAAAGGTTCATATTTGGGAATCAAGGACCACATGATGAGACAAAGACACGATATAAAAAACGAGCAGCACGAAGTCAGTCTTTAACCAAGTCTTTGGGCTAGACGGACGGATCCGTTATAAATGTGAAAAAAGTCCTTCTTCGATCTTAAGACTGGAAGGACGAGTCTGCTATGACTGTGATAGTCAGCTATAGATTTGGGTATGCGAAGGAAGTATGTGGATATTTGGATATGCGAAAGTGAACCCATCTTCGATCGACTCAAGTCCCTGACGAAAAAGAGAGAGAGAGAGAGAAGACCTCAAAAGAGATACTTATACGAAAAGAAAGAAAGAGAGAAAAGACCCCCAAAAAGACGCTAATCCGAAAAGAAAAAGGGAGAAAAGAACTCTAAAAAAGAAAAGGAAAGAAGAAATGCATATAGGAGAAATTAAAGAAAAATAACTTTTATAGATAAATTCATTGTTTCTCTTATGTTTTCATTTTGCTTAATGTATCTTTTCATGTTTGTTCTTTCATGCAAGCCTGACATGAGATCTTTTGGATTACATGTTCCCCTGCTTGTTTTACCTTTTCATGTTTCGTAAATTCGTGCAAGTATGGCACAAGATCATATGGTGAACTGTAATTTACCTTGCTGAGTGTATAAACGCTATATCAATATCCCCTCCCACTATTCTGTCCACAATGTTTATTTGTTATTGTTTCTTTGTTTCTTTGTTTATTTCTTATTGTTTTTCTTTGTCCGTCTTTCATTTTCTCGCCGTTTGTATGTTTTGATAATAAATTTATTACTTTGTTGCAGATTGACGAATGTATTTTGTGTATCAGAAGGTTGGGTTATCAGAAGACTTAGAAATGTAGGTGTTCACAAGACATTCATCCACAACAAATATAAAAATAAGAACATTCAAGGTAAAATCATTCAGGAGGAATAAAAAAATAGGCCAACGTGATTAAAGGTTTAACAAATAACATTCATTTTATATCAATTAAACATACACAATCAAGATAGATATTGCTGATCAAGTGCGACGAGTTGTAATAAAATATGTAGAAGGATTATGCTGAGTTTCAATGTGTGTAAGCTTATCGCACCCGGCAAGTTACTGCCGGCTACTCAAACATCTAAAAGCGTCACCGCGGAAAACATAACGAATGCCGTTAACTTCCGGTGACTCAGCGTTTTTCAGTCAACGACTCACACAAACTCAAAACAAACGAAACATTTACATACACATGCCTTCCTAATCAAAAACAATTACCAGAAACTACTTTATATACACACGGTGTCCGAATGGAACCCATGTGTACAGCCAAAAAGTAGAAGGTAATTTTCAGTCATCACCTCAAAGATATCACTAACAGGCTACGTTTCCGACCTCAGCCTATATAAACACAGAAGATTTCTTCCACCAAATTAATTCTCACCCGGCGTTTTGGCAAATATTGGATCGTTTCTTGGCCTATGGCTGAGATTCGATCAAGGCTTTGACTAGCTTGGACTAGCTTCGGCCTGGACCTGCTAGGACAAGTCATGACCAGCTTGGACAAGCTATGACCAGTTTTGGACCAGTGGCCCTTGAGTGGAAACACTCGGGTCTCCCACGTTAAACGACCTTGTGTCACATCTTGACCCCGTGGGAGTTAAGTAAATACCATTCTCTCCCGGCGGATTTTGGCCTCGGGGTTGAGTGACAAGCTCCCCCTCTCACCTTCGCTGACCACACGAAGCAGCCAGAGCAGCCCAGCTTCAATTAGCAGGAGCAGCCCAGCTTCATCATCATCATCATCAGCAGCAGCAGCAGAGCAGCCCAGCTTCATCAGCAGGCCGACCAGCTTCAATCAGCAGCAGCAGAGCAGCCCAGCTTCGTCATCATCATCAGCCGGCCGACCAGCTTCATTCAGCAGCAGCAGAGCAGTCCAGCTTCAATTAGCAGCAGCAGCAGACCGACCAAGCTTCACCAGCAGCAGCAGCCGGTTACATGATATGCACTAGTCTACCCTCGGTTACAAGATATGCACTAGTCGTTTTTCCGGACTACCCTTGGTTACATAATATGCAATAGTCCTTTTCAGGACTAACCTAGCCGCGTTATTACGAATGTCCTTTTATTAGAACTACTAAGCTGCGATCCTGCACGACAGTCATACCAAGGACGAACTGACTACACCAGCGCCGTCCGCGTCGATCCTCTCTCTCCTCAAGCGCCGACGCGCTCTTTACACAAGTACAGACATCCAGGGATCGACTGGACCTCGAACATCGCTGTTCCATCGGCCTACCTTCAAGCTGTCGCCTTGAAACCTGACAACGCTCCTTCAAAACTACACGACCGAACTACCACAAACGATTATCTGTATATACTTGTGCCAGATTATTTAATAAAATTTAGAGTAAACTTTTACATCCTCGTCTTTGTTGTCCTTGCTTCGATCGTATTACCCTATATTATTTTTCTGCTTGCGGGCTTAACAGGCTACCTGCTTAACGCCGCAACAAGCTTGTGGTTAGGATTTGCGTATGAAATTAAACAAGGTTTTAACGTATTAAAATGTCTTTTGTGGGAGTTCAGTCATTAGTGTGTATGTGTGCGTTTGTTAAAGTTACTGTTCAAAGTTTGTAAGAGTTGTGTAACTTTAGCTGTTGACTTGATGTTGGATTGAGATTTACAAATAGTGTTTAGTAGTGGGTCAAATCACTTTCTTTAGTATGTTGTAAATAATGTTCCTGAGAGAGTGAAGCGCTGTTTGTCGAGTCAGAAGAATTAGCGAGCGAAAACTGTAGTTAGGTCAAAGATTTTCCTAGCGTGGATTTGTTTAGCATCTCTCTAGGGTTGAAGTTCTGACAATATTTATTACTGTAAAAATACAGTAAAGGTGGCACAAGTCCGAAAAGATGGGTAGGGAAAAGGACGGACATCATGTGACTTAATTTTAAAACTTAGCTAGCCGCAATGAATGGCCAATCATACAAAAAATATTCCAACCACCAAAAATAAACATTCATACATACATTACTTACTACATCTACCAAAATACCTCATTGTCTCAAAAAGTTAGAAATATATAGAGATTTACATGCAAAACCAAGCTATATTGGCTACTTTTTCAAAGTTAAACACGCTTGCTTCAAAATTTAAATAGCTGTTTGGAAACATTAGAAAGCTAATGAAATTATTGAAAATCGATATGCTATCGATCAAAATATATTGATTTTAACTAGTTTCAAAACTTTTGACAAAGTTATATTACAAATTTTATGTTTTACGAAGGTTTGAAATATATCGAGTTTTACAAGCAAAAGCAAGCTATTACGGCTACTTTTTCAACGTTAAACACGCTTGGTTCAAAATTTAAATAACTGTTTTGAAACATTAGAAAGACAAAGAAATTATTGAAAATCGATATGCTATTGATCAAAATATGTTGATTTTAACTAGTTTCAAAAGTTTTGACAAAATTATATTACAAATTTTATGTATTACAAAGGTTTGAAATACATATAGATTATATTAAAATTTCATGTTTTCCAAAGGTTTGAATTACATGCAAAAGCAAGCTCATTTCGCTAATTTTTCAACGTTAAACACTCTCCTTTAATATTTAAATAACTCTTTGGAAACATTAGAAACATAATGAAATTATTGAAAACGGATATGAAATCGATCAAAATATATTGATTTTACCTAGTTTCAAAGCTTTCAACAAAGTTATATTACAAATTTTATGTTTTACTAAGGTTTGAAATACATAGAGATTTACATGCAAAAGCAAGCTCTTAAAACTACCCGCCGTGATGTCGTCAAAACCGGCTCGATCTGCCGAAACAAAGCAGGCCGCTCAGAATGGGCATTGGGCGCATAAACCCCAATGAGACGAAGAGCCTTATCCTTTATGGTAACATCCAGCACGCAAAATCTGCCCTCCGGATTCGCGAAGACAAGAACACACGCCGCCTTTCGAGAGGTGTCTCTTGGCTGGCTCTCGAACGGCCATCAAAACAGGCTGAAAAGAGGGAGAACCTCCTAGACAGTATGTTCTCATAGTCATGAGTAGAAAACCGGGTCTCTTGAACACAACAAATATTCACCCCAAGACGCTTATTAAGTATCGCTCATTACTTTTCCACGCACATTCGTATTCGGAGTCACCATTTTATGTAGTAGTATTGGCGGCATAAATCAACCCACACATTTTTTTACTTTACGAATGTGTAAGCAAACAAAAAGCAAACAAGAAAAAGAACACAAGAAAATAACTTTTCATAACATAAATATTTATATTTATAAATGACAACAGTTTTACAATAACTATTAATATGAGTTACTTCCCTTTGACTTTACTAGTAAAATATTTTTTTACCTGAGCTCACAAAAAGCTGAATTATCTTATCGTTCAAAATGTTCACTGAAAGAGAGTTTAAAGAATCTTGTAAAGCTGAAAATATGTTGATAAACTTTTAGCTTCAAAGAAGTTGGAGGAGTGAATGTTCCGTAATGTCTATTGTTTTCGTTGCTCGTAGTTGAAAGTATTGTTCGTAATTGCTTGTACTTAAGTTTAGTAATATTCAATAACGTAATTGAATAGTTTTTAGTAAGTTGCAAAAGTTGGTGAGTGAGTTGTTTGGTTGATATTTTAGCTTGAATTACAGCGAAGTTATTTCGTGTTAAAGAACTTCAGATTCTAACTTTGTACTTCGCTGCTGCAGTAATGATACAAGCGTCGTGAACTCGTTTAGAAAATTCTAGTCGTCGTAAATTCTTACTGACTGGTTTCGCTCGTACCTTCAATTTATATGTTTTTTAATCACGTGATAGGATCCTGGGAGCATTGTTTTTTCGTCAGGTCAAAAACTAGGTTGATGTTATTCGGACGTAGTGGTGAGCAGGTAAATTGTTTTTTTAATATTTGTTAACCACTCAGAAAGCGCCTTACAAAACTCAGTCTGGAGCCTGATATGATTTGTGTTGCTTATTGAGAATAATGTACGTGAAGATACACGAGATAATTTTAATATTTATTGTCCAATGAGTAGTTAAGGTTTTCAGTTTCATGTATGAAGCTGTGATCCGCTTTTAGCACGAAAATCGACATTGATGAAAAAGTGGTAGCGTAAAGCTAAAAATTCACCAAGAATAACAAAATTAAACCCACTGCTTAGCAAATATCTACAAACATCAAATAAGCCATTTGCTAGGAAATTTGTCCCGGCTTTCCCGCATCAAAGAGCTGTGTTTAAAAATAGGGTTGAGGTTTAAAAATTTGCGAAAAAACGCAAGTAAAACATCAAGATTAAGAGCGGACAAACTCTCTCTTTTAGGCGCCTATGAATAAAGAAAAAAACTCCTGCTCGGCGAGTAACAACAAAAGAAGTGTTATTTACAACAAAAAGGTAAAGGGATAAAAGGACCATTAGGAGAGAAAGAAAGAGAAAAGAGAAAATGTTCTTACTTAAAAAAGGCTTGCTCAAAGTATTTCTCTGAGCGCCTAAAGAGTTCTTTAAGCGATTAGATGTTATTGTTAAAGTTCTGATAGATACACTCACAGTTCTTGTAGAGATGGAAATTTGTTCGCAGAGAAGGAATCCTGCAGCTGGGTGAGTTTTTTTTTGGTCGACGACAGAAGTCTAGTGGGCTCGACAGAAGAACTTTGGATTGGTTTTGAAGAGTGGACCGACGTTCGTTTTTGACAGCCCTTTTTAGTAATTCTTCTTTGGTGAAAGAGGTGCTGGAGCTTCCTAATGTCGACCTCACAGACGGTAGGCAGAAATCTCACTGGCAAAAATAGGCAAGATTCTCCAAATTTATGGAGTTTTGTTAGGCTCCGATGGATCGGGGACTTTTCCCTCCAAAATCGTTGTACAAATTTCCTGGCCCCTCTATTGGTAAGAAAACACATTCTTATCTCTGATAAGAATCAAGGCCCTGGGAGCCGGTTTCGAAGGTACTGAAAACAGGTTGAAGTGAAGAAGCTGTGAGGTTTCTCCCAGACTTTATGGCTCCATGGAAAGAATAATGGTGGTGGAATTCCTTTTTATTTTCCAGCTCTCTCCTTAGTCAGAAAATATATTCATATCTCTGATAAGAATGAAGGCCTTGGGAACCGGTTTTGAAATTAAAAAGAGGTTGGAGTGAGGATAGAAAAAATAGCGAGAATGTGAACTTGTGAAATTGTTGTTCTCAAATTAAATTGCAACACATTACATGTATGTTCAATGACTAAACGCGAATAAAAATCTCTCTTTCAGGCGCGGACGAATAAAGAAAAACTCCTGCTCGGTGTGTAACAATAAAAGAAGAAAGTGTTTATTTACATATACAGAAAAAAAGGGTAAAGGAACAAAGAGAAAGAAAAGGAGAAGAAAGAAAAGGAGAAGTGAAAATGTTCATAAAAAGGCTTGCTCAAGATATTCCTTTGAGCGCCTAAATGTTCTTTAAGCGAGTAGAATTTTGTTAATGGTTAGAAACACTCACAGTTTTCTTCACAGTTCTTGTATAGTAGGAAAATGTTGGTAGATATAGGAATTCTGCAGTTAAGTAAGTTCGTAGGTCGACGAGAAAGTCTTGTAGGTGAAAGGAAAGCAGCTTTCAACTGGTCTTAAATTGTGGGCCGACGTTCCTTCTCGACAGCCCTTTAGTAGGTAGCTTTGGTTGAAAGTGGTTCCGAAGTTCCGGACTGGTGCTATCTATCGCCGACCTTACAGACGGTGGGCCGAATTCTCACTGCCAAATATGCGAAGAACCTCCAAATTTATAGAGATTTGGGAGGCTCAGAAGGATCCAAAATCGTTATACAAATTTCCTGGCCTCTTCATTGGTCAGAAAATATATTCTTCTCTCTGATAAGAAACGATGCTTTTGAAAGTAACGAAAATGGTTGGAGTGAACAAACTGTGAGGTTTCCCACAAACCTTATGGCACCATGGAAAGAATAATGGTGGTGGAATTCCTTTTTATATTTTCCAGCTCTCTCGTTAGTCAGAAAATATATTCTTATCTCTGATAAGAATCAAGGCTTTGGGAGCCGGTTTTGAAAGTAATGAAAAATGTGAGGATTGGAAAAATAGGCTAGAATGTGAACTTTTAAAATATTGTTCTCAAATTAAATTCCAACATATGAGAATTAAAATCTTCAGTTTTTCCCACGGGTTTTATTCATTAACCCTTCTTATTTATCAGGGGGTCTGTCAGTATATCGCTCCTTCTATTTTAAGAAAACTTTCCTATGACTACCAGTAACAAAAATACTGTCACAAAAAAGCAAAACCTATTCTTATCTTATTCTTTATTGAGATTAATCAATAAAAATACCTTTCTAATAGAAAAAACACATGCGTTATTTCCAAACAACAATAATAGCTCTCTAGCATATTATAGATTACATTTATTTCGCATCATTCAAAGAAGATAAATTTCTCTCTTTCAGCGAATAGTTAAAGACGGGCCTTATTTTAGTTGTATCTTGAAACTCGCTTAAAATGACTTAAACACTCGCTTGTGCGGAATCCAAACATATTTGTTATAAACTTGTGAGGAAACATTAATACGCACAACATATCCTTCTCTTTCTTGTTCATAGTGCAATAATCATCATATCTACCTGAAGTTGGGAGAAGAAAAGGATGGCAAAAAGGAAAGTATGGTCAGAACACGAGAGAAAATTACTACTTCATACAGCGATAACGAACGAGCGCCGGTAGACTGGGATTTCCTAGTGAGAAATGTGGAACACTGTATCAGATGACACCTTCGGCTAATTTTCATCCTGGATGTGAGGAAGTTGGAAACCTTGGTAGAGGAGTGCGAAGCGGGTAACTTTCCAGTGATGATATATATATTATGTATATTTTAACAATATAGTATAACAATACTAAAATTAACTATATTTTTGAGATTTTTATGTAGAAATTTGAAAAACAGCAATGATAAGAGTAATGGATGACAGTAAAAGAGGGAGTGAAAGTGATGAAATCAGAATAAACAACGAGGATATAGTAGTGACTAACCAATTTAGAAACAGAATGAGCACGTTACTCAGAGCTAATCGAGATGTAGACGTAAATACCAACAAAGAATTGGGACAGACAAGGACCGTAGAGATGAAAATAGACACCGGTGATTACCCACCAATATCTGTTCCATAATTCTCACGGGGCATGCATAGCCAACTCCTCCCCTTGCTTTATTTTTATAGTTCTGCTGGCGGTGTTAGCTAACAGTAGGGTCACCATCGACCAATAAGGCCTGTATAGGTCCACTGCTTCGGGTGCCCATATCAGAGAAGGCCAAATCCGCCAACCCCACCACCCTGTCTCCCAAATCCTCTAATCCCTCTTTCGTCTTGCTGCAGCCGAAACAACTTTCGGACTGCTTCTATTGCTGTCCTCTCACTGCCGGACAAGTTATCCCGATGTTCACTCGGTATAACCCCCACCCCCACCCCTTAGAGACCGGTTCTACGGCCCCCTCAAAGGCTAGCAGCACTAATTCGCTGTCTGACAGCCCATATACGACCTTCTTCTTCTGTATGTTCATCAACCATCCCTGGAGATCAGTCGGGCTCCCCTTATAGGTTGGCAGTCTCATTTCCCCTATCAACCCTCAGAATCCCGTGGAAATCTCGAGCAGCCCTTTTCCGCCTATTTTACATCGGTCATTTTCTCTTTTTTTTTTTTTTTTTTGTATTACTCCAACAACAGTGGTAACTTTCAACTATGTGCAAAGCTGAACAAGCAACTCTGACACAAGTACAATCAAGCAAGCAACAACAAGGGAAACCAAAAGTGACTTACCCACTGACCGTTTTCGCCCGCCGTTAGGTGTTGCCCATCATGTGTTTTTCACACCTTTATAATACCAAGTGAACGTGATAAACTCGCACACCCCGGAGGGACGCCCCGTCTGGGAGGATGAAGACGAAGGTTCGAGCAAACTAGTTGCTGAACCTCACTGGGAAGATGTTATAGAAAAGAATCAAGAAGATAGAGAAATAGCTGCCCTTAGGGTCAAGGTAGAGGTAGGAAATACGGCGAAGTACGTAATACACCATGGATTGTTGCATTAGCTTTCGGGGAGGAAGTAACCCATAACCCCGTTCTGCCTAAGATGTCAAGATACAAATTCCTAGAGCAGTGTCATGAGAAGACGGGCTATATGGGAATCGATAAGACGTACGAACTGATAGTTAGAAATTGGCCTCGATTGTATAAGGGCGTAATGAGCCATGTGGGCAAATGCATAACATGCCAATCTCAGAGTAAAGGAAACAGGTCTGCCCCGGTAATGGAAACAGATATTCCAGATTATCCCTTTCAGAAGGTGAGCATAGATATTTCGGGGCCCTATGGACAGACATCACAAAGGAATTTATGCATAGTGAGTTTCGTAGATTGGTTAACGTATTGGCCAGAGGCCCACAACATACCGGATAAGAGGGCCCAGACCGTGTCGGATATATGTATGGAGCCCCTGAACAGTTGGTCATCTACAATGGGCCCGAAAATGTAAATCAGAGAGATGCTGAGTGAATTGAATATTAAACATATTACCACTTTACCGTACCACCCCCAGAGTAATGCTAAGGTGGAGAGATTTCACAAAACCTTAGCTGATGTGCTAGCAAAACTAGTGGCAAGTGATAAGAAGAACTGGGATACATATTTAATCCGAGCCATAGCAGCAGTGCAATTCTCATTAAATTAGACTACCAAGTTCTCCCTTAATTCCATGATATTTGGCAGGGATGTGATCCTACCCATAGACAATTTGTTGGAGAAGCCAAGGAGAAGGTATATGGGAGAAGATCACCATAAGATAATCCTAGAACAGCAGCATAAGATATTCACACAGGCACAGAGGAGAATTAAGAGGGCGCAGAAGAGACGAAATGGGAGAATAAACAGGAATCGGGGGGACATTAATTTCCAGGTGGGTAAGCTGGATCAAAGGTGGATCCCCTTTTATAGAATAGTGGAAAAAACCGGACCTGTCTCTTACATAATTTGGCCGGGAGAGTAAAGCGAGTACATGTCAATGACATAAAACTGGCCGATATAGATGATTGGGGGGAAGCCAAGGAAAACCAATTTGGCTGAACCGGAGAGTTAGAAAACGAAAGTGAGGATGAGATGAGTTACGAGGGATTAGGAGAAGCAATTAGACCTAAGGCCAGATTCCCTGAGGGAATTATTGAACCAAAAATTGCCTCTACAGGGAGTGGAGAGGAAGCGAGTGAGTGGGAGGAAGAGCTTGAAATTCCCCTAGCTCAACTCTAGCGCGATGGAAGGCTGAGAATGCGCCTAATGTGGTAGACGAATTACCTGTAAAGTTATGACTGAGGGGGGGGGCAGTGTCGACCAAACCACGAGAATAGGGGAATCGAGTAAGATAAATAAACTGAGCAGGTGATCACCCGAATGTGGTCTGTGCCATGATGTGTGCGTGGAAGGGCTCCCATGCATACGCGGCATTGATGGTTGTGGACTGACCTAACTTCTCAGGTGTCACTCTAATCGATAACCATAAGAAAGACTGAAAGAACACATGAGTAAGATGAACCCCCCCCCATCTCTATCTCTTGCAGATATGGACGGAAGGAGACCACTGGTGGTTTTGATGCTGATTTTGGCAGCAAAGGACTGGGAACACAGTGAAAATGTTGTATTTAAAAAGACCAGCGAAGTGGTCATAACTAAATCGAAGTGGTTAATAACACTAGTAATAGACCTACGACCATACGAGGAATTGTTATCTCTATTAAAGACGAAGGTAACAAAGTTTGAGATGGCCAGAACACAGGTAGCTAAACATTATTTCAGGGATCAGGGATACCGCAGGATAATATGTAGAATTTGGATTCTACATATTCATAAGATTTAGAAAAACATTTTTTTTTAATATGCCTTTGTGTAACCTCTCAAAACTTGATAAATCTATTGTTTTCCATCGAAATCAAATCGATTTTCAATAATGTTAGGCGTCTCCTATTTTTAAAAATAACAAATTACATTTTAAATTAACGGTGTTTATTAAAAGTAACTGAAACTGGCACAAATTGAGTCAATTTCAACATTCTTTTCTATGTTTTACTAAGTTTGTGAAAACCAATATTTTAATATAACTTAGTCTAAGCTCTCGAAACTTATTACAATCAATTGTTTTTGATCGAAAACAAATCGATTTTCAATAATTTTAGCGGTTTCCGAATGTTTTCAAACACCAAATTACATTTTAACGGTGTTTAAATTATCAAAATTAATTGATATTGTCGTTAAGTGCCTCAATTTGAATTGTCTTTTCAATGTCTTCGTAAAAAGTTATTTTTATAAAATAAATTTGTGTCAGATGTCAAAACTAATTAAAATCAATTGTTTTCGATAGGAAGAAAATCGATTTTCAATAATTTTAGGCTTTTCTAATTTATTAAAAAAATAAATTCCTTTTTAAATTACCGTTGTTTAAGTTGTAAAAGTGTAAGGGGGTCGGCGTAAAATGATGTTTCGAGCATACATTTTCCATGTAAGTTTTTGAAAAACATTTTTAATATATTGTGTGCAAGTTGTCGAAATTGTTAAAATCTCTTGATTTCGATCAAAAACAAATCGATTTTCATTAATATTAGGGGTTTCCCAATGTTTCCAAACACCAAATTACATTTTAAAATAACGATTTTAAAATGTAATTTGGTGTTTGGAAACATTGTTTAAGTTATCAAATGTTAAGTTATCTGTATGAAATGGCGTACTGTGTTAATTTGAAGTCCATATTCATTGTTTTCATAAAATTGTAAAAAACATTTTTTTTTTAATATAACTTTCTGGAAGTTGTCGAAACTTGTAAAAATAGAATTTCAATAATTTTAGAAGTTTTATAATTCATTCAAACACTAACTTTTTAAAATACCATTGTTGAAGTTGTAAAAAGTATGGGAGTGGCGTAAAATGGCGTCTCCAGCAAGTATATTTTCCATGTAATCATAAGTTTTTGAAAAGCAAATTTTTTAATTAGCTTTGTGTCGAAACACGTTAAAATAAATTGTTTTCGATTCCAATAATTTCTGGGTTTTTGTTAATTTTTCAAATACTAAATTGCTTATTAAATTACCGTTGATTTGTGGCGAAATTCCAAACGAACGTCGGAGTTATCAATGAGATTAGGCGTGTCTAGGCCTCTCACCACATTTATTTAATTTTTGTTTAGGAACCCAAACTAATATAAGAACAAGGGACAAGGCAAAGGTATCAATATATATATATATATAAATTGTATTCAACAAAGCATACAATAAAGAATATATACGAAAAAGAAGCATGCAATGAGTTAGACGAGAGTAGTCTCACTTGGACTATAAAAATTAATCAATGTTCTCTGAAAAGGAAATGAAAGAGTTATTATTAATCTGTTATAAATGTTTTAGACAGTTCTGCCGTGCAAGAGGAAAATTATATAAGTGTGATAGAATACGTAATTTGAGAGTGAGTGAGAAGATGGGTACATGTCTTCAACTGACGTAGATTCCAGTAGCAGTCGAAGTTTCACTGGTGTTGGTTCTCTTTTGTTCTGTTTATATAGGTAGTCATCGAATTAGGAATCTGCGCTAGAAAAATCATTCTCCACATGCAGAGAATCTGATTGGTTGATACTGACCAATCAGTGCCTGAGTTTTTGGGAGACTTCTGGGAGCCAATTCTCCCAAAAGTGCACAAAATTTACTATATGAAAATATAGCGATTTTAAAATTGTTGCTTCAGATAGCAGCGTTGCTTTCTGTCCAATGAATGAATGCGGTTAAAGATTTGAATTTGTAAGGGTGTATGTGTGTGTGTGTGTGTGTGTGTGTGTGTGTGTATGTGTGTGTGTGTGTGTGTGTGTGTGTGCGATGATGAGATCGCTATAATACCCCCTCGAGAATGGAGGATTATAACATAATAACATAATGTACCTGCCTACCTGTTCTGGTAAACAGTGATTCTGTCTGAGAAGTGGACTGTTGATTCTGGTTTGACGATGTTGATGATGATGCTGGTTGCTGTCGATCCGAATTGAGTTGTTTTGCGGCTTGTTCAGGATATGCCGGCTTTAAACGGTCGACAGAGATGGTCGACTGACCATTGCAAGTCTGGATGGTAAAATGCTTTGGATGACGTGAAAGTACTCGAAAAGGTCCAGAGGTTAGTGGTTTTTTTTACTGTAGTCGCAGTCTTGCAAAGATTTGGGAAAATAAATCTCCTTAGAGTGTAGGGGTAAATGACAGTTCAGCCATTCTGTGTTGAAGGTAGTGTATAAAAGTAGAAGTTGGTTCTATAGAAGTGTTTCTGTCCAGGAACTGACCTGGTAAGCGATGTACCAAAAACAAGATCAGCAAGAGTACACTGAAGATCTTCCTTTATTAGGGTTCGTAATGAAAGTATAACTAAGTGTAATTTCTCCAACCAAGTTTGGGCTGTGTCGGAATGCAGCCTTAAGTTGACGATGGAACCTCTCGACAAGGCCATTTGCACAAGGGTGATATGCAGTTGTCGAATTTTTCTTCGGCCTGGTAATAGTGGGGGAAGTGTCATGAGGGTCCATGAG